ACGTCAACTTCGCTCCACGAAGGCCTGTACGCCGAACCCTTTTCCACTTCGGGCGGTGCCCAGGCGTATGATATTTGCAATGTAGATGTGGCTGATAGGTTATTGCAGGTGACTATTGCCATAGACGCAGGATCAAGTGCCGCAGAAGCGAAGCAGCCCCGAGCCAATGTCAGAACTGCGTCGATTTTGGAATTGAATGCCAGTTGTCCCGCCCATCGAAAAGGGGCAATGTGGGCGGATTGGAGCGCGTTGGGCGCACGGTAAATGAACCGAAATCCACTACAGATCCCGAGCATACAGAAGCAAACTCCAGCATAGCGGCGACTATTGTCCCCTCAAATCGGGAGCCTCAGAGTGATGGTCCTTCAGAGCCTGTGTCTCACGACCCCGTCATTAAGCCATCACGCTACAGAACAGATATCGGACGTGGAAAACTCCCCACAGGCACGCTAGCTCCAGCCTGGTGTGCATTTGCTTCAGTGTCAACCACTCTAATCAAAGAATTGCTCGGAATTTATTTCGAAACAGTCTACCCTATGTGAGTCTACTCGATGGGCTGTCATTCTGATGGAATCATCGAGCTCAGAATTAGAGCTTTCCTTTCTTCGATCGGAAGAATCTTGAGGAGCGGATGGCTGCTGAAGAGCACACCCGAAACCGCGATTTCTTCTGTACGATCATGGCTGCCTGCGCCTTGGCCTCAGCTCGCGTGCGTGATGGCGCGCTGGTCTTCCCGAGGGAGCGTTTGGGAAACTCAACAGCAATAACGCCAGAAACTTTGTTCGAAGCTGCGCATGATAATTTGCCATCCGACTTCTCGCACAGTCAAAGTTTCGATACCTTACGAGCCTGCGCGCTTTTAGCTCTCGCAAGCCTTCAAGATGGCAAGATCAAAGTAATGCGCATGTACATTGGCTATTACTTTACGATGGTCACAACATGGGGTTGGCATGAAGAGTCGTCTTGGCCAGCAAGCCTATGTAGGGTTGAAAAAGAGGAGAGACGGCGGTTAGTAAGTTTTGTTGACCCATCTGCTTGGCAGACATTTTAGTGGCTAAGATTGTAATAGTACTGGTCCATTTACACGCTCGACGTATTCACGTCAATCGTTTGGGATGGCTGCGTTCATTTCCAGGAGGCTCACTCAAGAGTCGAGTATCCTGAAGGTGATCAGTCTGGATTTTCATCAGCAGGCAACCCAGATTGGATCGAAGGGTGGAATTTCACCACAGATCTCTACCGCATATTGGAGCACGTACTCTGCAAACTGAGAACGCGGCACTCTCGCTTCAATCTATTCGGAGACTGCCACTCAAGCTTGGAGACGCACCGACTACAAGAGCGAGTGAACAGTCTCCATTGCGGTCTGCACCATCGCTTCAAAGAATTCGGTCTGGCGAGCGGTGTCGCCGAAAAGGACATATACGGCTTTCAGGCAGCAAACATCCAAGCAACGCTTGCACTTCTGCGCATGGCGTTGCTGTCCCTGGAAGGTGATATCGGTCTGGATAAGAAATGCTCCGTTGTCAACGAGGTGTTGACAGCGTTCCACCAAGTTCCGAAGACCTTCCAGCGCGCTATTAGTACTCCTCTCGTATACCACATCGGTTCGATCGGAAACATCCTCGGTTCCGTCATGGAAGGTCCGCTTTCGGAGAGCTCATATCAACGCGTCAGAAGTTTGCTTCTCTCCATGGCTGATCTGCTTGAGGGCCTCGAGTCATTCCTGCAACAACGGGCAGGTGCGGGTCAAAAGCTCCGACAACAGGTTGATACCATCGACGATTACATGTTGTCGCGGCAATATACCGCAGGGAGAACTTCTGGGCAAAGAAACAACTCGGCTGCGGACGGGTTTACGGAAGCGATGCCTGCAGACACTAACACAGAAACGACGATCATTGGGCTGCCAGATAGTTCTGAGATGTCACCACTATTTCAGATCCCTGACGACCTGTTAAGTGACTGGGACTGGAGTCTGAACATGTATCAGAGTCAGTTTCCGTACTTCGACGACCAAAGTTAAAAGCTGAAATCAATATGTGAAATAACAAGCGAAAAGACAGACACTTGATTTGGATTTGGCATCTAGGTGGATCCCAGATCTGGCCTGGTGGAGAAGATAAGAATAATAGGGAAGTCAAACAGTAATGACAGCCATGAAAAAGCATCTTAGCCAGTAGATCTACTCCATGACTTCACGTGATGATACCTTACTGTCTCGAACTATCAAGTGATATGTAAACACACCGCCGAAGTGGCCCAATTCCCAAGGAACAAACACATGGCTATCATCCGCATGTGCTTTCTAACGCATTCATTTTGTGCAATACGTGTTGACCTGAGGGCTTGAAGTCCGCATCTTCAACGTTCCTAGCATCGGCGAAGACATTCCCCTCTTTGCCATGTCCGCGGTTAGCGAGAACATCGCTGTGGGCCTTGTAATTACGCTCCATATTCCAAGTGAACACACTGTTCGCAGCAAAGAGGGCATCTATCGACTCGAGTGAACGGCCGGAGGTTTCGGGGTAGACTAAAGTAGGTCAGTATCCGGCCAATATCAGGCATTATGTCCGGGGGGGGGGGTTCTCTTACACAAATAGACAATGGGTATCCAGACAAGATTCAAGCCGGCAAACAGGAAGTAGGTGCGGTTTTCCAAAACGTCGAACATGATGGGATTCACCAGAGTTGTCATGCCGACTCCAATGGCCCATCCAGTGATCCCGAACCCATTACCTTGTGCACGCAGGTCAGAAGACCAAACCTCTGTTGGGATAAGGAACGCCACTGTCCCCCACGTGGCGGCATATGAAAGATTGAACAGAAATAGCATGGCTACAGCGGCAGGAGCAAACTGTGCAGCTTTGTCAGGGTTTGAACGAGACCCTTCGTACAGAGACCCTGCAATGAGATTGACTGTGAAGAGGCAGAAGGCACCGCCCATTAAGCACTTTCTCCGCCCGAGGCGATCGACGATCTGGGCGCTGATTATGGTCCCCACGATGCCAACCGTGTTCAGGCCACCGGCAAGACCGTTTTGAGTTAACTCGGTGTATCCGGCTTGTGACAGTAGAACCGGCGAGTACGCCGTCACGGCCGTGATTCCGGTCCAAGATGCCATGATCTGCAGGAGCAGGCAAAGCCAGGCGCGCTGGCCTAGATTGAATCCAGGCTTTGAGCCGTTTCCTGAAAGTATCTTCACAAACTCAATAGGTGAAGATTTTGTACTTTCTTCGGCGACGGCCTTGATCTCAAGGTACTCTCTTTCAACGTCAGGGCCGAATCCTCCACGAACATGCTCAATGACTTCACGAGCGTCGTCAAATCTGCCAGCCGATGCAAGATACCGAGGGGTATCAGGCAACATCTTGATACCGAGCAAGAGGAGCAGGGCCGGGAAGCACTGGAAGGCCAGAAGGAAACGCCATCGGACGTCAGAGTTTCCCCCATCAACGAAAGCAAGGCCGAATGACAACCAGTACGCAACGGAGATACCGAGGTAATTTGCAATAAAGACGTAACCGAGGAAGCCCCCACGATGTTCCGCTGTCGATGTTTCCGCAACCATTACTGGTGTAATACCAGTTAGAGCCCCCGTTCCGATACCTGTGATGACGCGGGCAACGATGATGAAGTCGCTGGATTGCGTTGCGGCTTGAAGAGCTCCTCCAATAAGAGAGAATGTGCATCCTATGAAAAGACTCGACAGACGTTAGCGTGTACATGTAGGAGACAGCAGAATAGATGGGATGGAATACCCATTGATGCGACCAATTCGATCTGCCGCCCACCCACCAACAAAGCATCCGAAAATGCAGCCGAGATAATAAACTGAAACGATGCCTCCTTGATGGACAGTATCTGTGACAGTGCCATCAGCCATTCCGATTCCGACCTCTTCAACATATCGAGGCGAGGCATTGACGCCTCCCATGACGCCTTGGTCATAACCCTCGAAGAATATGCTGATGAGCGAGAAGGCTTGGATAGCAATGTTTAGCTGGTTGGCCGAAAGGCGCTTCCACCAGGTGGTGTAGTTCATGTTGGTGATAAATGTATTGTTCGTGATGTACGTCGCAAATCAACAACGATGTGGCTCAAAGGCGCCCAACCTATGATCTATGACTGCGGCTGTGCAAAATGATTGCGATTGCACACCTCGAGTGGTGGTTTAGATAGAAGTTTCGCTGAGAACGTGGGAGAAGCCAAAGATACTTGTTCTTCCGTTGCAGTCGGCTTTAGGCGTGGGCAACGAAGTCCTCTGTTTGTTCAAGTACCGACGTTTCTCCAAACCTACCTACAGAACCCCCCGCAATTAAACCCCGGATTCTACAACCACGTGCCCATTGTCGTGCGTGCCTAGTGGATTGAGAAGCGTGCATTGCCAAGTGATTACTATGGGAGTTCCGCTTAACCATGTAGCCGAAGAACCCCGTGTAGACGCTTAGCCGCTTAGCCGTGTAACCGCTTCCCCGTTTCTCCACCGAGCCGTGATGTACAGCTGCAGCGTGGGCAGGCCCTTACGTCCAGTCGAGCCTTAGTTAGCATTGATGTGTACAAGCTGACCCCGCATCAGCCTGATTTTGGGCGCTGATGACCATTGGGAAGCAATACATAAGGACCAAGCCAATGCTGTCGAAGTCAAGGTTTCGAGCGAACCTTCTTTGTCTGCTGTAGCTAATTGAGTCGTTGACCATCTTTACAAGCTCCTGAATATCGTTTTGACAATTTGACATGTCAGCCGAAAACAAGATCACGAATGGCCCTTCAAGGGGTCAACCGCTGGACTTGAAAGTCTTGGGGATGAATAGCGGCACATCGATGGTACGTGAAACATGATCTATAGAGCATCAAGTCGTCTAAGATGTTTGATCTCGATGTCTAGTCGAAAGCTAAATTTCTTTCAGGATGGCATCGACTGCGCTCTTTGTCAGTTTCGACAAGAAACAACAGAATCGCCAATGCACTTTTCCCTTCTCAAATATGGGGAAATTCCCATGGATCTCAAAATCAAGAAGCGAGTCCTCAACATCATCAAACACGATAGAACCTCGGCGTCCGAATTGTCAGAAGTCAACGTTTCTCTAGGGGAGGTTTTCGCTGCGGCCGCCAAGAACTTCTGTGACGATAGCGAAGTTGACATTAAGTCCATCGACGCGATCGGATCTCATGGACAAACAATTTGGCTGGCTTCTATGCCGGAAGAGGGCGTTCCAAAGTCTGCCCTCACAATGGCAGAGGGCACCATCATAGCCTCACGCACTGGAATCACCACCGTGACTGACTTCCGTGTATCGGATCAGTCTGCTGGGCGTCAGGGCGCCCCCCTCATTGCCTTCTTTGACGCACTATTGCTGCATCATCCCGGAAAGCTTCGCGCATGCCAAAATATTGGCGGTATTGCGAATGTGTGCTTCATTCCACCTGAGGGGCCGGATCATGCGTACGACTTTGACACCGGTCCGGGCAATGCACTCATTGATGCGGTTGTGAGGCACTATACGAATGGTAGAATGGAATACGACAAGGATGGAGTGATGGGCAAGCGCGGAACAGTGTGTCAGGGTCTCGTTGACAAGTTCATCACAGATGTTCCTTACTTTTCATGGGACCCGCCGAAGACAACGGGACGCGAAGTGTTCCGCGACACCTTGGCAGACGACCTTATACGCGACGCCGAGGCTCTTGGACTGTCTGCCGATGATGTAGTTGCTACTGTCACTAGAATAACTTCTCAGGCGATAGTGGACCATTGGAGCCGGTATGGTCCAGAGGGGAAGCAGGTTGACGAGGTATTTATGTGTGGTGGAGGGGCGTACAATCCCAACATCACAGATTACATGAAAGAACACCTTCCCGGGGTCAAGATGTTCATGTTGGATGATGCTGGTATACCTGGTGGTGCAAAGGAAGCCGTAACCTTTGCATGGCAAGGAATGGAAGCTCTTGTTGGCCGGAGCATACCAGTTCCAGAGCGAGTAGAGACTCAGAGACCATACGTTCTCGGTAAAGTGAACCCCGGGGAAAACTACAGGAAGGTCATGAGCAAAGGTATGAAATTTGGCGAAGGGCGGGAGACGCTGGGCTGGGTGACTGAAATGGTGAACTACGTGGATGGTAGTGCTTTCGATAACAAGTGGTGAGTGAGCAGCCGTACTCAACAATCGTTGGCGACCGGTTCGAATTGGGCATGGACGTCTTATCTTTTGGTGTCGGCTACATTTCATTCGTCGTATGGTGTTTCTCTGCATATGAACCCGGACCGCGGGGTAGTTAGGCAGAATTCAAGGCAAGGCAGACTGGCAGCGCCACATATATCTACCGTTGCCTTCGATACTGGATTTTCCAATTGCAGTCGTGTTTTTATCTCGGAAATTCTTCCTGGGTGCAGCTCGTGATACGAATGGAGGAATTGGACACCGACGCTCTGCAAGAGCAGTTCCGCGCTCACTGGGAAAGCAGCACCGCAGATGAAGATGTCACACTGTATGGATTCAGCCACTTCAGAACGATTCACTTACTGAACCTTCGATTCCTCGAAGGTGAGATATCTGAACTCAATCGTCTAGTTTACCAGGCAGGAAAGAGTCTGGCCGAAGTTCCGCCCTCACGCGCACGTCTTGGCATAGATTCCAGATGGAGCGGCGTGTCATCAGCACCAGAACCAACCAAGATCATAAATCAAGAACTGGTCACTAAGCTTCGCGACTTTCTGAGGCAATATGGTAAGTGCGACTTTGCAGTCACTCTACGAGGGACCTCATTTCCAGAAGCTCATAGAAATACAGATGAGGCACTTGTTGCATTTCATAACATCATGGGCATGGAAACATCATCTTTGATCGATGATGAACATCACGCAAGTCTGAGAAAAGATCGAACGGCCCACCAAATGTACCGCACCCGCCTTCTTAGAGTAGACCTAGGGCAGCGCCTGCGAAAAGACCCCATGGAACGCTTCGTGCGGCGGTGCTTATATTACTTACGGTACCGACGACTCTCCAGATGGTGGGCAAAGGATACAGAAAGCGTCGAGAACACTCGTATGTTTGGCAAGAAGGCCTACCAAGATACCGTCTTGATCGCCGAGGTGATTTCTCGATTCTTCATGACCGGGTTGGTCGGAATCTTCGTGGTGATCCCTTTGGCGACACTTTCGTACCAGAATAGTAAAGAGGTGCAGTTGGGAGTCATAGCAGCATGTGTTGTGACATTCTCATGTCTGGTGTCTGCATTTTCAAGAGTCAGCAGCGTGGAGATGATGATGGTGACAACTGCTTATGGCGCAATTCTGACTGTTTACATGTCAAACGTTTGAAGAATATCTCATTTGATCAGTAAAGGTCACAGAGAAGCATGACAAGCTTTAGTCGTTAACCAGGCGTATGTTTTAGTTGACAAGTAGACTTAATTGCGCCTTTGAGTGGACTGTATTTTTAAAATGAACTGAACTTAACATTTCCCTCCTCGTGACTACCAGCTCTAGTATTCATATGTCAGTAACTATGCCTATCATGTGTATTTGGACGTAGGACGCAACCTACCTCAGGTGAGGTTCACTTGTCCTTGGCGGGTTTCGACATGTCAATACCCAACAGGGCGCCTCCGATTTGGAAGCCGAATTTGTCCGGCCCAAATTTCCACCGCTTGTCGGCACCACCTCCGGAGCTGCCACTTTGGGCCTGGGAGGACGATGGCTGTGTCTCTGCACAATAATCCTCGCCTGAGACGACTTTCATTCCTCGAGGCTTGAAGAATGTTTCGTTCCATCGAGCGAGCTCTTCGCGTATGCGGCCGATTTGCTCCTCGTATTCAGGACTTTGCGCAGCCGACATTGGCTGCTGTCCTTTCGAATCCGCTGGAAGGGGTGCGCCGCCGGTGGTACCAGCACGTCCGGCTCTGACGAGGTTTGAAGTAAAAGCGGCCCAGTCTTCATGTTGGATATCGCGACTTAGCCACAATGCCGAGGGCTCAGGGTAAGCGAAGGTGAATGGTGCCGATCCTGGGATAAGGTTGATAAAATGTGCCGTTACTTCCGAAGGCGATGGAAAAGGTGGGGGTCGATTGATTGGTTGCGTAGCAGTGTCTGCAACGTAGGGAGGAGGTGGAACGTTCTCGCTGTCCATGTTATATTGAGTTGGGGCTTCCTGTGGGTGCGGATGGAAGTTGAGAGTTTGAGGTGATTGCTTCTCGAGAGAATCGAGAGGAACGACCGGCTTCGCAGCCAAATAAGTACTCTGGGCTGAAGGTCCAGACTCAAGGATGGTACCATTCATACTTGAGGCTAAACTCTTTGAAGTTATCACCTTCCTTATTCTGTTGGTTTGTTGGTCTGTTGGTGCAGGCCACATCAGCTCGTGGCGAACCTAAGTGCTGTGCCGCAATTCACAAGATATCTGACAGAGGGGCCCTCATTGAGCCAATGTCGCATGGTAGCATCATTCGGCCTGTCGCGGGTGGTCGAATGCAAAGTTGTGAATGAACACTCACTTCAGCGACCTTGTATCATTAACTCAACATTCCACTTGGCGTAATTGGCATAGGAGTACTAGTCTGTGGGAATTAGGACCATGTTTTCTAGCACAATCCCATTGTGGGGTTCTCCAGTAGCATTGACAGATTCCTAGACTACATAGTCAACGCTGCGAGTGACGCCCTCCGATTCATATCTAAGGATTGCCCCGACAGGATCATCCTGAGAGCAGTTGATGGGAGTGGCACCAATAGACTGGGCTTGCTCAAGCCGGCTATCGATGCGATCAACAACATACACTCTGGAAGCACCGCGCAGCTTGGCAGAGTAAGCGGACAAGGGGCCAGCGGGACCGGCGCCGAAGATCGCAAATATGTCTTCAGCTTGGAATCCGGAGTATGTAAGTGCATGCCATCCGGTTGTGAACACATCCGCTATCATGAGATAGGCGAGCTTGACGGTGGTGTTGGTGGAGTTGATGGGAATGGGAATGACTGACTGGTCGGCAAGACGGACTCTCGCGTATTCAGCTTGAAAGAAGGCAAGTATGGTTAGCTTTGGCAGATCTTTCCAAAAGATGACATGTCTGGTGTTCCGCAAGTTTAATTTGTGCGGATGCAAACTTACCTTGCAGGCCGCCGTAAGTTGGGTTACCAACGCCGGAGGGTGAGTACGATCCCACTTGCCATCGTCCGTGTTATCCGGGACAATAAAATATTCGTCGACGGATAGAGATGTCACAGAATCTCCGATACTTGAGGTGTAGCCCACGGCTTCGTGCCCGAATCCATGGGGAGAGCCACCAAATACGTGATACATGTGGAGATCGGACCCGCAGATGGCGGAAGAGGCGATCCGGGCCACAGCATCTGTTTACTTCACGATAGCGGGTACGGGTAGGTAGATCAAAGACATATTATAAGGCTGGACGAACCAAAAGACGCCTCTGATCATGGTTGAATTCGTTTCATTGAATGCCATGATGGGTGTTTCAATGGTTCACAGTGGCAGAAATATGCTTCACTGATTAGACAAGTTTTGAAGATATTGATGTACATGTACATGAGCTTACTAACCTACCAAATATGATTTGACGCCATTCTAAAATTGCAACAGTGATTCACCTTCCATTCTGGGAAAGTAATATTTGTTGTCGTCTACCTCATGTAAATGCATGACTGCGGGGCGCCAAGTTCGCAACTGAGTGTCGTGTTGCCTGACTCCAAATTCTTTTTGGCTGTAACATCGCAGTTGAGAGCCCGCCACCAGCCGCAGGCACTGGCTGACCACTCAAGTTGGACTTGCAACCCCGATGGGAGGGTGCATAGCCCAATCAGGCTCTAGCTAACCTTGTTCGTTCTTCTTGTTTCTAGGAGTCCACATAGTCATTATCAAAGCGCCAACGAATAGCGAAGATGAGTGCCCGCCGGAGAGGGTCCCGACAAGACTGCAACATGAGGATGCAACGTTAACAAGGCTGGACTGCCAAGGTCTGGTGTCAAGTCCTACGGAGACACTTGTTCGCTGGCTGACATGGTATATAGGCTTGGATTCCCAATAGACCACTCACAATACGATATTGCAACTCCTGATTGGACGATAGAAAGATTCCAAGACGGAAATGTCAACTCAATGCCATCAGGCTGCGCTACCCGCAGTCTGACGTGAGATCTATTGGGTACATCGACCCGCCAAATGTGTAAGGCAGACTAATCAGAACAGTCAATGCAACAGCGGAAATAGATGGCTTGATCCAGAACTGGAAAGGATGCTCCGGCAAGTATGCTTCCTTTGCGCCAGTCAATATACTGCATTGTCTGGCTTGAGCAGTGTTGTGAGTTTTGTTTACGCATACCTACCTGTCAGGCACAATCACGCAAAGTACTTCAACGCGCCGTCTCTTCACTTCAGAATGGCTTTCTCAGCATCTACTCGAGAAGCTGCTCTCAAAACGACATTGATCATTCGATATAAGCCCATTCAAATGATCCATAACCCCGTCAAAATGGTCAAATTCACCGCCTCTATGGTCGCTCTAGCTCTAGCTATTACTACCACGGCCGCACCAGCCCCCACATCCCACACGACCTTCTCCTTTGCGCAATGGGTTGAAGATATCATCGCCAACCCTGACACAGCTCTGAGCCCCGAAGAGGCAGTTACGGCAGCTAACGCTGCTGATATCGTCACCTCTGCCGGCGGTCTCACTAAGAGAGCCTTCTGCCAGGACCTGTTCAAGGATGCTCCGGTATGAATTCCTATATGACCTCCAGCAGAGCATTATAGCCTGATCTAAGTTTCATGCTGACGTGATGGCGTTGTTTGCAGGCTGGAGATGCTGCGGCGTGCCTGGACGATCTCGCCAGGAAGGGCGCCCAGGGTGTCCAGTGCGGCTTGAGTACATTCGACATTCAGATGTGCCGCATCGGTGGTGCCCAGCTTGCGGCCAGCAAGCGCGACACCAACCCATTGTCAGCAAACTGGTAAGCGGCAAACCTTTAGTGGGGCGGGACTTTCTTCATATCCCATTGCCCCTCAACTACTTTCTTCATCGTAAGAATTACTGACTGATACTTCCATAGTCACGATGTTGCTCGTACGGGAGGTCTCATTTTCGACAGCTGCTGGCGTGCCGATAACACGGTGAAGGGAAGCGAATGATGCATTACAAACAGCGAGATGTGGATCCACCTGCTGGGTGTCTAAGCGGCAGCATGATGCGTCAGGGTTGTTGTCAAATACCACAACGCGGCCCCAGCCGGGCTTTCGATAGCTTGAACGAGTTGGCGACCAAGAATGGCAAGATCCAATCCACAAGGGGCTGAAAGAATTATTCTATACTGACTAGGTACATATTGCACCAGGGAAGCTAGACGCGAAAGAAGAAAAGAAAAACGCGTTTCGATTGTTTGACAGACTATCAGGAGATTTAAGTAGTTGTTTTTCGGAGATCAACAGCCTTAACTTCATGATAATTCAGAAGAGATGTGATTCCATAAGCATTCAGCTGGTGGCAGGCACTTTATCTGATGATTGTGCGGAGGAGGTTCAGATTGAATAGAATAATCACGAAAACGCTTGGCTCTGAATGATGAAAGGCATCCCATCAAAGCTAACGGCGCCTATTCGCCGGAGAAAACGCTCCCCGAACCAAGCATAAGGTAAGCTAAACCCGTCCAATGTCAAAATACAAAATGTTCCACCGATGTGCTGTCTCACGGGATGACGTATTGCTGACCAGAGTCTGGCATGCCGCGGCTACTCTGCGACTGGGGTATGCGCTATTGACTGGGCTAATGATGCAACTTTGCCAAGAGCCGCCTTAATAGAGCTGCAACATCGGCGCGCAGGATCTAGCTTAGCCTAGCAGCCGCAATCTAGGTAACATTGCCAGCCGATGTTCACCCAAGAACGTTCCATTTGCCTTGGAGAAAACGAGCGACTCTAACGCTCTGAAGCCGACGTCAAACGTCTTACATGTGACCCATGTTGGTGCTGCAACGCACGACCAGTTCTTGTGCCCCTGTCTGCCCTGTAAACGAAGCGAATCCCGACCCGCCCCCTGCGAACGTGGCTTCGAACAATGACATCAATATGTCGAACAGGATTTGCGCTCCTGGGCGCTGAGGCGTCATCTTTCCGACGGATGAACTGCTCCATAATGTCAGGAGGATCTGCGCTAGTGACCAATCATTCTGCGAGATAGAGGTCACGTCGATCGTAGCGCAGCCACATCAGGGAGCTTGAGGTGCTGTCGCGTACGCGTTAATTACCCCTTGCCTGTGAGATCAAGCGAGATCCACATGCGCCTGTGGGTTGACTTCCCTTGAACAACACCTGAACTTATTAGAGTCGCGGTTCTCTTTTGTGAACAGTCCCTCAGTCACATAGTCTCGAGAAGAACAAGACGAAAATGACGAACCTGCCGACAATAACACTCGACACCACGCTCGCCGACCTCTACCGGCGAGCGAGCCCAAAGAATGCGAACAAAACGATAGCGCAAGTTCTCTGCGGAATCAACTCCGCCTCCGAGCTTAGCGCCAACGTTCCTCGAAATGCGAAATATTTGTATCAGGACAGCCCTTTCAACTCGATCCCAAAAGATGGATCAGCCAACGGCCACACCGGGGACAAGAAGCAGCAGCAGGAACTGGCCGTCAAGTACCTATCATTGATACCGCAGCGCGACGCCTTCATCAGCGGCGACACGGCTGTTGTCCTCTTCAACATCGATGAGACGGAGAAGCAAAAGGCTCATGACAAGGATGAAGCCCACAAAACCATCTCAGTTCTCGCCAAGAACCAGCAGCCAGATCTCATTTTCTGCCCCGGCCCATCAAAGATTCCCATCAAGGACGCTGGCATCGACCTGATTGCGTACAAGTTGGTTCTAGATGGCTTGGAAGACTATGACCTGATTGTCCCGCCCGAGACACACTGGTTTCTCAACTCAAAAGCCGCCCTGGCCGAGTCTGGGCTGCCGACACCGAAGTCGAAGATTGTGGAGCTTGATGGACTTGCAGGAGAGGCGCGTCTGTGCTGCACGCTATGCAAAGGCGACACGGCTGAGTTCGTCATTCCTCAAGCCTGCTCGGGTGCTCGAGGCGAATGGTTTGAGAAGCAGAGCGAAAAGATCTTTGCCGACCTCAAGGCGCATCCCCTCCCGTTCGTGCTCAAGAACCAACAAACGTTTGGTGGGGCGGGCACCTACATCATCAACACCGAGGAAGACCGAGAAAAGGTCGTGCAGGATTTCAGGGACGGGATCCTTCGCAAGCTCATGTCTTCAGTCACAGATTCCAACGTCCACCTGCGCCCTGCAGCGCTTGTCCTCTCGGACCTGGTTGAGAACCCCATTGGAGATTATGGTCTGACGTTTTTCGTCACTGACGACGGGAGCGACCCTGTTTTTCTCGCGGCTTCGGAGCAAATGATTGATGACGACAAGGCCTGGATTGGTAGCACGATCGACTATGCTCGACAGGATGAGTTGAAGAGGAAGTTTGGCGTTCTAGTCAAGAAGATTGCCGTTTGGCTAAGGAGCCATGGTTACGTTGGGCCCGCTGGGGCTGACGTTCTTGAAACGGCACCAACGACAAACGGACAAAAGCCAAACGGCCACACAGCAAACGGTTCAAGACAGGAAGAAGACTTTTCCCATTTCCACGTTGTTGATCTCAACATTAGGACATCCGGGTCTCTGTGCCTCCCTCTCCTTCAAGGTCACTTTACCAGCCGTGGCTTCTGGAGTGGGTCCTCATTCTCCATCAGTTCAAAGAAGACACGGGCGGAGTTTATCAGTGAGTTCAAGGAGGAATTTTTGAGTGGGCAGATGTGCATCATCAGTTGGTACGAAGACCCAGACACCGGCGTCAGCTTGGCCGACGTAGCGGTGGGTGCTGAGGATCAAAAGGGTTTGAGAAAGGCGATGAAAAGTGTAAGAGATGCAACGGATGAAGTGACATTCTAACAGCATCATTAATTAGATCATAAATATGCAATTTAGACGGTGTTGAGGTTAATCGGAACATTTCTGTAGAGCGTGGATTTCCAGCCGCATAACGCACGCATGTAAGCCGATGTACCGAAAAGGTGCTCCTCCAGCCGGCAAACTGCGAAGGAAAAAGTTAGAAGGGAAGGAGGTAATGGCTTGGGCTTTCTTGTGTCTTCCTCTCTTGCAACGTTTGTTTCTCAGCTTTCTTTCTTGCCCATCCAACACGGCTCTGTTTGCTCCAACTTCGCAAACCGAGGGCTGTCCTTCATCATCTCCTAGCAGCCCGATCAGGCCATGGGGACTTCGAACAATACCACCAACGCTTTAACCACACAGAAGCACTGCTTACCTGCTCCTGCGGGGAGGCAAAGACAGTAGACCATCTAGTCTACTGCGAAAGGACCCTAGTGAGGAGGCAGCAGTGGCCTACCCTCCACCCCTCTAGAGCACAGGAGCCTATAGGACCTAAAGGAGCTCTTGAGCAGTACTATAAGGGGTTAATCACTGATCATGAAGGCTTTCAGGCCTTTCTCAGCGTGACAGACTTCTTCAAGAAGATCTGCCCGCGGTACTAAGGACTAGGTCTTGACCTAGGCCCTACGAACAACCCCCTCAGTATGGAGGATCTGACGGCTACAACGGAACTAGGGAACCAGCGGGAACTAGGGACGGACAGAACACACAGCAGCTCACGGGCAGGATTTGGAGGACGTTAGGAAGAGGAGTGTACTTTAGAGTATATAGCTTGAGCCTGCGGCCCTTCACGCCATATACCCT